GGCCTGTACCGGTATAACCATACCAATTAAAAAAAAAAAAAAAAAAAAGGCAGGGGAGGGAGAAATCACACCCCATCTGACATAATTATACCAGTACAATTTTCAAGGGTAGACTAGGCCCCAGTTAAACCTGTTATGTGGGACAGGTCTGAGTTAATTTAAGATCAACAAGGATTAGATATTTATAAGGATATCAAGAGTTATCCTAATTAATGACACCAGAAGTTTTGGAATGGATATTAAACTTCATGCTTCACAGTTTAAGCCAATCTCTGTTAGAGAGCAGGATGAGACCTAGACAGGAGACGGATTATACCCCATCTGCCTACTGCAGGGCTCTTACACCTCCCTGTGAAACATCTGGTACCCAGCCACTGTCAGAGACAGGATACTGGCCTAGGAAGACCTGAGGAATTGCCAGACTGGATCAGAGCCATGACTGACACAATGGTAAGAGCGCGACAATTATTTTCCCAGGCTTGCTCTCAAATCAAGATGCTGAAACTCAAAAGCAAACAGAAATCTCAAGGCTGTTTCTTCTCCTCGCTCTAGGGAGAAATCGGCATCTTTTTTAAAAGAGGGACATTTAACTCTGAAGCAGCAGGACTTGTTCTGCATGCACACAGGATAACTATTCACCACCTGCAACACTTTGCCAGAACGGGTTGTTTTGGATTGGGTTTGGGGTTTTTTTGCTACAAGCTCCATTGCTTTCTGCTGCGGGGGAGCCTGGCAGCTTCACCCAAGAAGAGTGCAAACCACTGACGTAGACGCCAAAGGCATCTCTAAGGAACACAATGGGGCAGGATCAAGTCCTCTTCATGGCCATCAGCACCGCCTTGCTCAGCTGGAGGAGGATTTGGCAGCGTGTCCTCGGTCATTGGGAGGGAGAGGATCCCACACTCACTGGCACAACAATGCAGTTTTTTTGAAGGGAGAGAGGATTGCTAGATTCCTTTGTAGGCTTAAATGCTTCATACAACTTGCCCTGTTTAACAGCAGAAATGGAATTAAATACAGCTCTTTAAGAAAGCCACTGCCAAATCCACATGTGTGGGAGATCCAAATCTTCCATGACAGCCAAAAATAACTAATCAGCCTGTGACGTCTTCTCTTCTCGCCCCTTCACCCCAGGAGCACAGCAGAAGTGGGTGGGATACTGTGAGTGCGTGCACATGGGAGAGACAAGGGGAACAGAATGGGTGTGATTGGGCCCTACCCCTCCGAGAAATAGACTCTGTAGCTTTAGCCGTTGTCAAACCAACTCAAACCCCTGAGAGCAGTTAGCCATGTCCATCCTCAGAAAGAGAAGTGCAGGACAGATTCCCTTCCTCCCACCTCCCTGTGAAACATGCAATTCACTTCTGCAACCATGCCGTGAACATTGGCAGCAAGCCTCCCATTAAACTAGGTTTTGCCAGAATTAGATCAGTTTCCAAATCTTGGCAGCACCAGCAGGGAGATGTGAAAAAGGACTCCAGATGCAATTGTGCATACTCCTTGTCTCCTGGTTTTTAAAATGCCCTTGGACACAGTCTAAATATTCAAATAAAGCGAAAAGAGAGGGACAGGTCACCAACAAATTTCTGCACCGTGGCTATTGCTCACTTCAATTCTGTGAGGCTTTAACATTCGCACAAGCGCACAGAACCTGGGATCAGTGCTTTTTTTACAAAATGAACTGAAAATATTAGAAACAAAAAAACCCCCACCAACCAAAGAGAAGTGGGAATTCAATTCAATTTTAGATATGTCCCACCCGAAGAAAGCTTTCATCACCTGTTCCAGAGTGATGTATTTAGTCTTGAGAAACACATTGCTTTTGACTCAGACACGAACTTTCACTGCTTAAAACACCACAGTGATCTATGACAGTGAAATCCTCCAACAAGCGATTCCCAGCCGACCTTTCCCCTTGGACTATCTTAAAGCACATGATCCAAGAGTTTGTTTTAAGTAGTCAGGAGGAGTGACGCCTTCAGCAATCTATTCCTTTGTTTTTCCTTTTTAGCAAAGTTCTTTTTCATAAAGGTAACCAAGAAAGGAGGCAAAACCACTTAGCAAACATACTTGGATTAAGCTGCGCTTCACTGGAACTGTTTGTTTACACTTTGTGCCTGGAAAATATAACGAGTCTATTGGTAGAGACGCACACAGTGTTCAACTGTCATTTTAAATGGGGGAGAATGGATACTGTTTAGGGATATCTGAGGGATGCTCTTCCCAAAGAAAATTTTGTTGATACTTGGCGCATTCCAGTGATGATCTAAAAAAAAAAAAAAAGGGTTCACTTCAGAAGCATTAATAAGTCACAGGGATAAGTCCTCTCTAAGCGGGATGGTTAGCAGAAGCCAAGAGGACAAGGGAGAACTAGTGTGTGAATTCCCTGAGAAGCAGGAAAGTCATCCCAAGCCTCACTTTCGTTTATTTGGAGAATTTTGGATCCCATCATTGATTTGTGGGTAGGATCCCTTTGTAATGAAAGCCTGAACACACAATTTTTGAACTCAGTACCATGGTTTTTACCTGTCCTATCGAGAGAGTTTTTAAATAACTACTTGGCTAATCAGTCATTAAAAATGTGCACATTGGACAGGTTTTCTCCCAGAATCTTAAGGTTGCCATTTCCTGTAAAACACACACCCACCCCAAAAACCCAGATTTCATCACATTCACATACCACAAAACCTTTTCCAGTTCCTGATGCCAGCTATCATCAAGGAAGAGGGAATTTCCTGAGGTTATGCTGCAGCTTGTTGTACCTGGGGTCTAGTAAAGGGCAGCAACAAGGGCTTGTTATTCCTAGTTACAACCCCATCTTCTGGTCCAGAATTTCACTCCACTTGGTACCTTTCACAGTCTTCCCAACTTCCTCCAACTTTTTTTTCCTTCCCATCTTTTCAGACACGTGACTTATTTTTTTAATTTTTAACTCAATGTTCAGAGAACTGCAGCACATCTTATAGTTAGGCCATTTAGAGTTTTCTACTCCAATAACCTTAAGATGTATTTGTGCCCGCTGACCAGAGAACTCCTGCAATTCACTCACAATAAACTGCCCATTACAAAACAAGTTCAAGACATAAGAAAATTCTCACTCGCTACTTGCAGTGCACCTTTGAAAGGTGCACTTATAGCAATGAAATATACAGAAGCACTAGTACACACACACACCTCTCCGCTTACTGGCCCAAGTGGAAGGCTCATTTCATTTCCACTAAGCAACACATGGCATATTTGAGTTTTAGAAGTGTTTCTATATGGGAGGAATTAAGATGACACTTCAGGTGACAGGACAGTTTCCTGATCACCTTCCTGAGTTCAGAATAAACAAGTAGTCATGGTGATGGTATAAAAGTCTAAAGAGCACAGAGTAGCCTAAGGAATAGATAACGTTGGCATCTTGTTTCACTTGTGGATTTGACATGCAATTTAAAGAGGACCTATATGCCACATCCAATACTTGGCAGGAAAAGAACTACACACATACACATTTAGGAAGACGGAGTATTTCTCTTTGCTGAGGGGGGAAACCCAAGAACACCAATATTGTAGAATGTGGCAGTGGACAGGTCTTATCCACCATTCCTCCCCCTTCAAAACAAGGAAATACTTCAGCATTCCTGCCACAAATCGGGTCACAAAAACAACCGCATCCTTATTTCCACACACAGAGCTCTGCTACAATTTCACAACAATAGGATCAAGTCACTAATTTGATTGAGCTCATCTTTTTTAAACCAAAAACATTTAACTTCTGAATTAGACTTCTGCATCCCATGGTGATTGATTCCACCCCTTCTCTACACTTCCAGAACAAATTCGTTTCCAGTGAAGAGACCAGACAGATGGAAGCCAAGAGGAATGGTGGCTATAAAGCAAGTAGGAATTGAGGGGGAAGAAAAAATGGATGCAAGAATAATAAGCAGCCATCTGTTTTACCTGCTGCCTCCCTGTGCACATCTTTGTTTATATCAGAGAGAACATTACAGTGAGCCTGCATCATTTTCACCAAAATGCAAAACAAATCTCATTAACAAAAGGTAACTCAGTATGCACTAGAAAGGCTAAATCTGTTGTGAGAAAAGGTGGAGACACTCAGTACAGGCACACTTAAGACATTAACCTAGATATTTTCCTGGAAGATGAAGCCGTATATAGTCAGTTGGCAGTGCCACAGCCAACCTGAAGCTTTTAATTCAGAAATATCTCCCGTTGCTGTCACAACCCCTCCTCCGCAGCTGCAATTTCGAGCCATCTCCCTTTCCACTTCAGCCCATTCTTGCCAGCCTCAAAAATAAACTGAGGTAAAACAATGCCGTGTCAAACCATTCCGAGACTGGGTCAACACTCAAGAAGGGTCTATTTTCCGGTAGGGATCAGCACTTGTACTGGACACACATACATGGACAACAGCAGAGAAATCTGAACAGGGGGCAAATGGTGATGCCAGGAATGAAAGGGCACCATGTTGGCTGAACCCTGAAGCGCCAGAATCCGTGTGAGTGCAAGTGTCCGAAAGTGCAATGGGGGAAGACTTTCTGAGGGTGCAACTGTAAGGGATCTGTGGAGGAGGCCATGTAGGCGTGCAAGTGTCTGATAACCGAGGCAACACCTCTGAGTGTCAATACGAGTCTGGCAACACAGGTCCCTGAGGCTCCGTGCACAAGACTTCCCAAACTTGGCCAATGTTTGCCAACCTTGCCACAACTGGAGACATGCAAGAGAGGTGAGGGCAACCTCTCTTGGGGGGGATAGCTCAGTGGTTTGAGCATTGGCCTGCTAAACCCAGGGCTGTGAGTTCAATCCTTGAGAGGGCCACTTAGGGATCTGGGCAAAATCAGTACTTGATCCTGCTAGTGAAGGCAGGGGACTGGACTTGATGACCATTCAAGGCCCCTTCCAGTTCTATGAGATAGGTATATCTCCATATATTATTATTATTATTATAACCTGCTGTAGACGTGAGCGCGAGGGGTGTCAGTCTCTGGGTCTCTCACCTGGCTCGCTTTGTAGAACTGCTTCTTCAGCCCAGCCACAGACATGCTGCCTCCTCTCCCAGCCTCGGGGGGGGGGCCCAGGCACTGATCAGCCCTGCACCGACCAGCACCCAAGACACACGGACAGCCGGAGACTCAGGACAGACAGACAGACCGACCCGAGCCTGACACGGGGACAGCCGGAGACTCAGGACAGACAGACGGACCGACGGACAGACAGCGCCTGACACAGGGGCCGACGGACAGACAGCGCCTGACACAGGGGCCGACGGACAGACAGCGCCTGACACAGCGGCGGGCGGATGCCCCGGCAGCCCTGGCGGAGCTCCACGGACAGACAAACAAACAGACGGACACGGCCCCGGCTCCCCGCGCGGCGGCGCCTCCTCCCCCCCACTCCTCTCCGGAAGTTACATGGCACCCCGCCGCACACTTCCGCCTCTGGCCAGGCCGGAAGCGGGCCAGCCCCGCGGAGGGACGCACGCCCCTTGGCTAGAGCGTCAAGCCAGGAATCACTCCGCCCCCTGCCGGCCCGGGGGAGCGAGATCCGCCCTTTGGATAAGCCACTACCATAGATCTGCGCGTGTGAGAGAACGTCCCTACCGCAGCACCATAGAAAGCGAGGCCGCGGCTAGAGAGTCACCCTGCAGGCGATGTGCTGCTACATCGCCCCCTGCAGGCAGGAGCACCATAGCGCGCGTGAGACCCACAAACAAACGCAGGCCAGGCTGGGACAGCAGGTGTACTGCGTACTTGTGATTAATAGCTATATCACTATTATTATCACTATTGAGCAACAGCATTATTATAATTTCCATTGCTAATAGCTCTACTTTTGATCACTGTTATCACCACCACTTATCACGATTATCGTTTTCACCATGACCAAGTAAGATGGCTGTTATTTTCACTACTGTCACGATTCCAATGGTTTTATCACCGTTCATTTTCTCGTCACCATTACTGCAATTATTTACTATTAACTCTCAAGACAGAAGCATTATTAATTATTCTTATTTATCATTTATATAGTGCCAACACTGCCCTAAGCACATTATAGATGGTATGAAGTCACAGTCCTTGAACGGAAGACCTTTCACTCTCAGAGCTCAGTCCTGTCAAAACATAGCTCCCGCACCATCCTGCAAAGACTTATGGAGTTGCTTAACTTTATGCACTGTGAGTAGGCCCACCGACTTCATAGTCGTAGCCATTGATGGGACTAGTCACATTAGTCAAGTTAAGCACGTGTATACGTGTTTCTGGGATTGCAACTACTTAAAGTGATCAATTTTACCAGCACAATCCCATTATTCCATATGATTTCTTGGTGTCCCAGGAAATTCTTTGGGAACACCTGATACGTTCTGGTTTTTCATTTCATAAATCGGAACCTTAGGTTTGTTCAAGACTTGTTATACCGGGTAGAATTAGTTCTAACATCAAATCCAGTCCAGAATCAGAAACAAACAGTCCAATAGAGTCAAGTAATCAGGAGGTAGCCGTGTTAGTCTGTATCTACAAAAACAACAAGGAGTCTGGTGGCACCTTAAAGACTAACAGATTTATTTGGGCATAAGCTTTCGTGAGTAAAAACCTCACTTCTTCGGATGCAGTCCAATAGAGTGTAATTAACAGTGTTTGGAGTGAAAAATCCAAGCTAGTCTTTCGATTGCAATGAATGTTGATGATACATGTTCAGTGTTTCACAATAAATGCATTCTTAACTCTGAATTCCCGGGAAAAAAATCCTCCACTCCAAGACATATGCCCACTGTTGAAAAAGAAGCTAGCAATAATGATTGCAACAGTTTCTTGAGTGCATGTTTGTCTTATTTGAATATTTCGCAACCCTAAGAAAGGTTGCCACAAAATTGTGCCTATTAGGCACGACCACTTTTTCACCCCAAACTCTGTTTCTTCTCCCTAGAGATGTGTTCCTACAACTCTACCTGTTCTATACCTGGAGAAACAAATATGAAAAGGTTTCTCCTGTTCTCTTTTTCATGTGTTTGGCTGTTGGGGGGTGGGGGCTTTGTTTTTTGTTTGTTTGTTTTCTATTAATTTTTTTAATTTACTTTGGTGTGAATCTGAGATTAAATCCATTGACTGCAGTGGAATTATTCCAGATTTACACCAATGTCATGGAAAACAGAATTTGACCTCGTAGCTTGTGCTTTGTCTGGGTTTAATATGACTGCCTGAAATCATAAATTGGCCAAGATTCAGCCACTGACACCTCACTACTTTCTGCTCCAAATATACAATTCACTTTCAACATAGCTTTCCCCTTAAGCAATACATGGCAGATAGACCACCACAGCATTCCATCTGCAGCTATGTTACTACTTCACCTGCATCCTTAACTGCTCACTAACAATACTAGCTTTTGATACATCAACGCTGAAGCACCAGAGACAGCGTATCATAGATCATGGGACTAGAAAGGACCTCGAGAGGTCTTCTAGTCCAGTCCCCTGCACTCAAGGCACGACCAAGCATTAACTAGACCATCCCTGACAGGTGTCTGTCCAATCTACTCTTAAAAATCTCCAATGAGGGAGATTCCGCCGTCTCCCTAGGCAATTTATTCCAGTGCTTAACTATCCTGACAGGAAGTTTTGTGCAAGTGTCTCAGAGTGAGGACAGGGACACCCCTCTGAGTGTAAAAGCCTGGGCACATGTGTCCTATTTCTGTGCATGAGACTTTCCATACATGGTCAACATGTGCAAAGCTTGTCACACCAATGAAATGTAACCGAACTGGAATGAGACCGGGCGTGCAAGTCGTGTATGCAGCGACTGAGAGCAAGTCTGTAATCTGCTTCTTCCGCCCAGTCGCAAAGAGGCTTCCACCTCTCCCAGCCTCTGGAGCCCAGCACAGATAGGCCAGAGCCAGGGAGACACAAGAATAGACAGAGCAGCCTGCAAGACACAGGGACAGACAGATGAACACACCAAATCAAGAGTCAGACACAAGGCGACCGACAGACGGACCCCCAAGTTGCCTGGGGTGGAGCTTCCTAGACAGACAGACACCACCCACTCCGAAATGTTACAGACCTAATACAAAATCCCGGCCTCCACCAGCACAGCCGGGCAGCGTTCCATGCGTCTGCCCTGTCATCTTCTCACTCCAGAAGTTTCTGGCGTTGGGATTAGGCCTCCTCAGAGGTCTGGGGCTTCTGGGATGCCTAATGTGAATTGAGCCAACCTGACAGAGTGCACTGTGAGGCCTCTGAGGACCCCTGGTGGGCACAAGGCTGTGGACAACACAGGGCCCTGCCAGACACCGTTCCCTCTAGAGCCAGCCCTCGCCCTGTATGCCCTAATGGTTTTACCTCTATGGCAGAGCAAAAACATGGGCTGGTCCCCTTAGGTTTGCCTCATGTGGGGCCACCTGCCATGAGCAAGGCGGGACTGTGGGGCCCCACTTCACACTTATGGCTATTTTTCTATATGCATCCGAAGAAGTGGGTTGTAGCCCACGAAAGCTTATGCTCTAATAAATTTGTTAGTCTCTAAGGTGCCACAAGTATTCCTGTTCTTTTTACTTATGGCTATTGGATCTCTGAGTTTTCTCCCACCTCCAGTGCATCGGGGCTGAGGCCTCTGCAGTAGGGGGGAAGACTCTGTCGCCAGCACCCCAACATGTTGGGTGAAAACAGAGGTTTTAACTGGTCTATGCTATGATGTGGATCCAAGCCACAGTTCTGACTGGATTCCTGCTTTAAGTGCAAAAGTCATGTCGTCACTTTGTAACTTTGTCAGACTTCTGGTTTTGGCAGAAATTTCGCAAATAAATAAATAAATAAAATAATCAGCCTGAGACAGACACCCAGTATGGAAAATTTCAGCAGAAATGGTTAAAGTTTGGTAAACGTATAAGCAAAACAACAAGGTCTTATAATGGGAAGTGTGCGGCAAATTTAATAGGCTTGCCCGCCAAATAGCCCTGCCTATAATATCAAAAATGGCCAATTTTCAAATATTTATTTTTTAAAAATAGATAATTTTTCAAAGAATAAACATCCTAGAAAGTCTGTTTCTACCCATACTACTGCTATTCAAACACTGAGGCAAAAACAGAAATTACACAAACTCCTGCTTCAAATCCCAATCTCCATGGAACCTCAACTGTGAGTTACGGGTGATGTCTCCATGAAGTATTTTTCCTACTTGGCTCTCTGAGTGCAGGCTTCAGGATTCTCAGAAGTCCCGTTAACAGGGATCTTTGCTTTCCCTTTGCATTGGTGCATGTTTAAAAAGCATGCATTGCTTGTTAGTGGGCACTAAAGGGCAGACTGCATTTGGATCACAATCTGTCCTTACCTGAGAATTGAAGTCACTTGCTCTGCTCTTCAAAAACCTTCCCAAACTCAAAGGAGTTCAAAATAAGCTCTACATTGTTGTGAATTCTTTACATTGTCTTGAATGCACTTTTCTCTGTGATTCTTGCTGCGTCTGCGTTATGCTAGAATTTTGGCTAAACTCTTTGTATGAATTCTTAAACAAATGCTCATTAAAGGCTGGCTAGATGCCTTGATCGTTTGTATCTGACTCTAGTTCACCACTTTTTGATAATATGAGGCCTATAGGACAACATAGAGCACCCTGCATCAGCAGAACTGACCTGAGAAATCAATATTTCTTTCCTATGGGCAATAAACATATGGTATGACAAGTCCTTTTCAGTGACTTCCAGATAAAGGAGTACGTGAATAATTAGTAACACTCAGAATTAAATAATTAGTAAAATTTGCCCCCGTGTGTGAGCAATTCGGTAATTTCACATTCACACATATAGAGTTACACACACCAGCCATTGCATGTTTTCCCCACACTAAATCATCTGTGTACATGCATGCTCACTTACATTGCAGAGCCCCTCTACATAACTGCTCAGGAAGCTGGAAATGGTGCCACAGGATTTTTTTGGGTTTGTGCCAGTAGAAAACCAAGACCCCTTATGTTCTTCCCTGTCCCTGTGCTCATATACTGGCAGGGAGCGCTATCCAGTAAATTAGAGAAGGGGCTAGGAGTCAGGACTACTGGACAGAGCTGTCAGAAACTCAGCAGGTTTAGGTCACATTTCACCAGCCTCTTTGGCCTGGTCTACACTACGACTTTAATTCGGATTTAGCAGCGTTAATTCGAATTAACCCTTCACCCGTCCACACAGCGGAGCCATTTAGTTCGAAATAAAGGGCGCTTAAAATCGGTTTGTTTTGGTTCATATGGATACACACGGAATGACCAAATTATTCTATCGTGCCAGTGTAAACCTGGGATCAATTCATTGATTTAATTGGATCATTCAAGATTTAAACCAGCATGACTGAAAGCAGAATTTGGCTTTATGACTCCTGCTTTCAGAGGCAGATTATAGTTTGATGGGGCCCTGGGCCAGAGCAAGTGGGG